CCTTGAAAAGGGGTAAACTAGCAGCTGTTGACAATTTTGTTCCTTTCCCCCCAGGTTGCCATGGTGGAGGTGCAGCTGGAGGTGCAGTACAAGTACCCCAGATGCTGCTGATAGCTTTCAGTGCCTGCACAACAGTGCTCGTGGCAGTTCATCTTTTCGCCCTTCTCATCAGCACCTGCATTCTGCCTAACGTGGAAGCAGTGAGCAACATCCACAACCTGAACTCCATCAGTGAGTCCCCGCATGAGCGCATGCATCCCTACATCGAGCTGGCGTGGGGCTTCTCCACTGTCCTGGGGATCCTCCTTTTCCTTGCGGAAGTCGTGCTTCTGTGCTGGATAAAATTTCTGCCTGTGGGCTCTATCCTGAAGAACGAGACCACCAACGCCGAGAAGCCCAGCGGCCATGCGGGTTGGCAGTCAGCACTGGTCTCCACCATCATCATGGTTCCAGTGGGGCTGATTTTTGTCGTCTTCACCATTCACTTCTACCGCTCTTTGGTGCGGCACAAAACGGAGCGCCACAACCGAGAGATCGAAGAGCTTCACAAACTGAAAGTGCAGTTAGACGGGCATGACAGAGGCATGCAGGTAGTGTGACAGAGGCGCAGAGGCTGCTTCCAGCAAATCCACTCAGCTAAGGCTAAGAGGAAAATACCTGTTTTGCTAGTTGGTGAGACACACCAGTGATGGATTGTCTTGAGGCTTAACTATGTTAAATGCTAATTGCCTGCCGTATATAGCTGTGGGTTGTAGTGCTGTTGCAGATGCTGGGGTCTCTGGCCTGTTCCTGGTCCTACACACTTGTGTACTTAAGTCGACACTGCCATGGAGTTCAAGTCAAAACTTTATCTACCTTACCATTGCTTCAGGTAGCCAAAAATCTTTATTTTTCACAAATGCAATATTCTGTTGCCAAAATCAAAACTGCATCAGCAGTCCAAAAAGCCAGTTTGTGTGTAGGACCTGTCTTATGCGTCAGAACTCCCTGGCTGTCAGTGCAGCAGCAATTAACTGGCAGCTTGTTTCTAGAGCTGAGCAGGTTAATGTGGGTATCTGCAGCTGACATGAGGACATCCAGGAAAGCACAATAGAAACTGTGAGTGTTGATCACCTTTGTTCCAAAGCAAGTATTCCATAAATACATCCAGAAAGAAATCAGCCTTAGCTTTTATGTTCTTTTCTTGCTATTCTTTACTATATTTTTACAGCTGGGGAAGTAGAATTTTGAATTTCAGGCAGCTGAGGAGTTGTGTCAGACTTTCTTCAGCAGCACAGAATCAGAGAATGGTTTGGGTTGGAAGGGACCTTAAAGATCATCCAGTCCAACCCCCCTGCCCCGGGCAGGGCCCCCTTCCCCCAGCCCAGGGGGCTCCCAGCCCCGTCCAACCTGGCCTTGAACCCTTCCAGGGAGGGGGCAGCCACAGCTGCTCTGGGCACCCTGGGCCAGCGCCTCACCCCCCGCACGGGGAAGAATTTCTGCCTTAGATCTAACCTAAATCTCCCCTCTGTCAGTTTAAAACCGTTACCCCTTGTCCTATCCCCTCACCCACTGATAAAGAGTCCCTCCTCACCTTTCCTGTACCCCCTTTAAGTACTGGAAGGCCACTATAAGGTCTCCATGGAGATAGAATCATAGATTAGTTTGGGTTGGAAGGGAAAGCATCTGTCACTTTTGATTGAGTGAATGCCAAGATCATGTGTTTTTTCCCAGTAAGAGGCAAGAGTGCCCAGGGAAGGCTTACAGGTGTTTTAGTTTTAACAAGGACATTCTTAAAACAGAACAGTGACAGGGAATTTAATGAGACAAAACTTTGAAGGACTAGAAAAGCAAGTTTCAAGGAGATAAGGAATGATAGCATATAGCATATTGTAGAAATCTGTCGCTATGTCGTCTTCATTTATGTATTGTTGTGATGTCTCTTGCCTGGTTTGACAGAGAGAACAAGCCCCAGCCCTGCATATTTCATCAGCTGGTTAGGGTTTTCTGTCAGCTGTAGCATTTGTGTGTCAAAAAAGAATGCTTCCTTCTCCCTCCACCAAAGCAGGCAACTCCTCTGGTGGAACATGGAGCTGTATTGGCAAGTCTGACGGAGCTGGATTGGGCGGGGGAGCTGTGTGCCATTAAAGAGCTATCACATTTCATTTGACCTGACTTTTTTTTCAGCAGTAGAGAAAATGACACTTGCACGTCTGTATTGCTTATCGAGGGAAGCTTGAAAATTCTATAGCATCCGTGTGGGTGAAAACTTCTGTAAAAATGATTTTATGATTTATGGTAACTTTGTGGAGGGAAAAGAGTGTTTCACAATCATCAGCATTTTTAAAGGAAAGTGAGGCTTTCTGCCACACAGGGCTGAAAGGAGCATAAGCACACTTTCTTGGCCCTGATCCTGTGCTGGTTTCCTACTCTGCACTCAAACGTTGCAGTTTCAGAGTCTCCCAGGCGTTACAGGTTTCTGAAAACATTATGGATGTTTGTAATGTTGTAATTAACCCTGGTCCCTTATTCCAGTGGGATTTGAGAAATCTAATGGCAGAGTATTCTATGTCAGCTTCCCAGAATGGAGAGTACACGCAAATCCCAGTGCAGCAGGGTGAGACTATCTCTGTATTCCTCTCTGGCGAGGGCCTTGGGAACCCAACTCTAATCTCTCTTGTTTACATGTGAGTTTGAGCGTTGCTGAACAAGTTGCTTAGCACTGTGTCTGTGGCTTTCATCTGTTGTTCTTACCACGGTTGGCATGTACCATATTGGCTGATGTGCAGCAAAGAAAATCGTCTTTGTATGCTAAATGACTGGTCTATACTTATGTGCAATGCAAAAAATAAGGAGTGTCTTCTAGGAGGTGGGTGGTCATGAAATTCATACGATCTCCCTAGGAGTCTGCCCTCTCTCCCTCCTCTTTTTACCATAATAAAAGTTTATACAACAAAATCAATAGGTGAGTTTTCTGCCAAGTATTACATGTGTAAGCTCTTCTACCAACAAAATTTCTATTGTGAGGCCAGAGCCAGACCAGATAGGACGAATCTCTCATCTGTACTTTGCACTCTTCTTTAACATCAGTAATAATAAGACTGTGTGTGCTGTGGAGCTCAGGAGGTTGTTGAGGAAAGTATTAAGCTGTTTTTGCAGTTAAAAAAAAGAAAGTTTCACAGTGCACATACAGTGCTGTGAAAGCAATGCAGCTCATTTGGAAACAGCCAAATCGTTCATTTAATTATTTGCAAATATAACCCTTCAGCAAATGGAGAAATGCAGCAGAAACTGTGCTTTGATTTTGTAGAATAACTTGGTGAGGCTTTGGTGGGATTGGATTCAAGATAATTCTCAAGACAGCGCATCTGTGACTGGAGCGGGATCGCCTTACTCCAGAAGGGAGTCTGAGGTATGGTTTGAGGTGGTGTCCCAAGGGCGAATGCACTGAAAACATAATAATAATGTGCTTTTCCCATCTTTGCTTGCAGCTTTGTTTCTCATCTCTCTGGGCACCAAGTTCTCTCTTCCAGGAGAAGCCCATGGGAGTATTTTTGCTCTTTGACTCTGGTCTCTGGGATCTCTAGGTTACCCATCACCTTCGCGCTGTAACTCCTCTCCTTTCTCAACAACAGCATTTGCTTTTCTTGCTCCTGCCTCTCCTCCTCCAACTTGTTTACATTTTCACTGCTGTTGGGTCCAAACTCGTGTTGCGGCAAGTTTGCCCATGGTGTTGACCGTGGTAGTTCATCCATGAAGCAGGAGGGACATTGTACTTGTCCAGGTGGGTGTTCCTGTTCTACAGCACCAGAAAACCCTCTTCGCTTCTGCTGCTGCCTCTGTGGCTGTCAGCAGGATTCCCATCAATCAGGTGTGGAGATACCTGCCTTTCCACACCATCGCTGGTGTCCCGGCGGGGCTGGCAGCGCTCTGTGTCACATCTGGGTTTGCCTGCCAGTGCCTGGCCACGTCTGTCCTGTGCTGTCCCCTCTCTGTCATTCCTGGGCTGTCTGTTGTTCCTGGAGTGTCCCCGGTTTTGTGTAGCTCCATTCCTGTGGTGCCTGCAAAGAGATGTTTCTCCCCAGGGTCCCACCCTCGTGCGCCGGGGATCTCCCCTGACCAGCCGTGGGCCCTGGGGTGCTGTAGTTCAGGGTGGCTGTCGCCCTAATTCTCAGCTCCCTTGGGCTGTGACTCTTTGGGCCAGTTATTGCCTTGTTTGGGCTATTTTTCCCAATTTCTGCCATGGGGCTCACCGCAGGGGACGGCCACTATCTTGCTCCAGAGTCCTGAGTCCTCCTTCAGACTTTTTTGGATAGTTTTTTCCCAGCAGAAAAATGCCTCTGCAGGCTCCAGCGCTGGAGGGACACTGCCCGCTTGCCCTAAAGCAGGGAAGGAGCTGGCAAGGGCAGGGGTACAGCCCTGCTTTATATCATTCCTGAGGCACCTGCCTTGGTTTAGGAGCCAACCCCTTTCTCTCCTTCCCTCGTTAGCAGGAGTCAAGACCAGGCACGAATGGGAGCTGTCGGAGCCGGACAGTGTCAGGTTCTCCCTTTGCTGTGGTTAGTGGCAGCTCTTACTGTAAGCTCCCTATTTTTAACGTCGCCGTGGGGCAGGCCTGGCTCTGGTAGTTGCCGCCCAGTTGTTTTGGTGGATATGTGACTCTGGGGAGGCTTTGTGACCAGGGGAGTAGTTGTTGGATTTGACCGTCTGGGCCTGACCCACGGGAGGGATGAAGCGATACTGCGAGGGCCCAGGGTGGAGCGCGCTCTGCGGTAAGCGCTCAGAGGTGTGGGAGTGTGTTTAGAGAGCTGGTGGGGCGGGTGCAGCTCCAGAGCATCCTCGGATCCCGACACGGGGGTTTAGGGACGGGCAAGCCCGGTTTGCCACGGGGACGGCCACGCTGGGCTCGGGGAGGGAGGCACAGTGGGCTCGGCTGGCTGCTCGCACTCCATGTCCTCCGCTTGCATTTCCATGGGATTTCATAATGTTCTCTCCCTGCCTTAAAACAAACAAACAAAAGGCCTTTGGGTTTCCCTGCTGCTGTAGCTTCCTTATCTTCTAAATATTGTTACATCTATTTTTAAGACAGTTTCCTCAGTAACCTCCCCCCAAGCCGCAACCTCAGATTCAGATCCTGGCACAGCTGGGGCTGCACGGTTATTTTGTGATTAAGTTGTTGCAGGCTGTCTCCTCTGTACCCATTTCAAACAAAGTGGTTTCAGTAATTACTGACTGGCTGAAGTTGGAAAGCATTCCAGCGAATACCTGTGTGTAGGACCGGGAGCTTGCTGCCTTCTCAGGGTTTTAACAACCATGAGTGCTAACTGCTAGGAAAGAAAAAAGGAAAAAAAAAAAAAAAAAAAAAAAAGAGCAACTCTGTATTTCAGCTTTGCCTATTTTTGTTTTTTCTCTGCATGAACAATATTTAATGTAGAACAATGTATGTATCTCAGTTATTGTCCAGCTGTGTGAGAGAAACTGGATAAACTTGCTAAGTTTTCTGCTTCTTGCTGATTTCAGACTGATTTTTTTTTTGGAAAGGCATCTCAAGTCCTCCAGCATCCTCTCTGGGTTAACTTGGGTTTTGCCATTTTTTAAAAAAGCTTGGTCAGATATTATCCTTCTTCTAAAATACACAAGTAGATAACAGTTAGATGTGCTTCCTTTTAATGAGGGCGTATGTTCTACAAGTGCTAATCTCGCTTAAGGACATAAACAGCTGTGACAGGAATTCCTATAACATGAAGACCATTAAAGTTTGTCTTACAATACTAGCATGGTGGCCAAAATTACTCTTAAGAGCTAATTAATTAAGATTAAAACCTCTTTATAATTTTCTCAGATTCCTGTGATACTTGGCAGTCCCGACCAATTGTTAATGTGCTGCAGCACTTCAATTCTGGCTTATTAGGAGAGAAGGTACATAAAGTTTTAGAAACTAATATAGAACTGATGGGTATGTAATTGCATTTTGATCTAAAATGATGCCCAAGAGACTGTTTAACAGGTGAAAAATGTCAAAAGACAGGCACAGCAATGACTGCATAGTGACTAGATTAAGTTTTGGACTTCAAAAACATCTGGACAAAGCCCTCAGGTTTTGGCACAGTATTTAATTGTTTACATTTTTTCAAATTTAAGAAACCAAGTAGGAAGAACTGGAACTTTCTGGCAAGGACAGCAGCTTCCTGTATAGTTCAATCAAGGCAGAAAAATTCAGCTAACAAATGCAGAGCACAAAATGAACTAATATTGTGTATCTTGTTATTGTGGCACTGATTCATCAGAAGCCATCATCTGCTTTCACTGTGGAGAGAATGAAACAGCAGGTACACGTACAGAAAGTATTTTAACAGGCTGAGATCACAATATTAATCTAAAAGGGCCAAACATTAATGGAAATATTTGATTGCTGCAGTTTGCTGAGCAACGAGCAGGTTGCTGGAGAGGCTCAGCGCTGAAAGGGTGACGAGGCCAGGGGCTCAACGCTTGCTTTCTCTGTGAAAGCTGCCCTGGGTTTCTGCCCGTAGTGTGGCTTTGTGCTGAGCTCCGCCGGGCTGCCAGCCGTGTCCTCCTGCTTGGCCGAAGGTCCTCGGCTCCGACGGCAGCTCCGGGAGCTGGCCCGGGGACATCGCGCTCTCCACAGCTGCCGAGCCCCATGAACACCAGCAACACAGTGCTGACCACGGCAGTCCGCCGGAAAAAGGTTAGGAACTGCTATTTTGAGAGTACAAGTACCCGCTTTTGGGAGCGGGCTGAAGAAGCGGTAGGACTGTGAGAGACCTCCTGGGATAAAGCCGGCTGTGGAGCGAGCGTGGCCTGCCGGTTGCACGTTGGCCGGCCGCGTTCGCAGTGCTGGGTTTCCAGCAGAGAGGGCATGCTGTGACTGCCAAAACCGCGGCGGGAGCACGGAGGTGACGCTCACCCGCCGCTCTGGGTGGAGGTTTGGGGTTTTTAGGACTGCCCCTGGGAGCCCTGCTCACAGATCCCTCTTGGAATTAACCGTCGTGGATGATGTCCGCAGCTGTTTAAAATACTGGGCTAAACTAAAATCAGTTCAGTGATTTCTAGTAACTGTTTTCAGGGGTGAAGAGCTCCCTTTCCCCCTCCCAGTGCCTGACGCAGGGGCCACTATCTATGGCACAAGTGCATTACTGTGCAATAAAACCTGTGCATTGTCCAAGGAAGTACTGCTAGGGCAGCATATACCTGTGCAGGGCTGCTGAGATCCCACGTAATAACTGTGTCCCCTCTTTCCTTACCGACCAACACCCGGCAGCAGTGTAAAGTGTTGTTTTATTGCTGTAGGTGGGACTGTGCTGAATGGTTTTGATGACACATCTGTGTTTATTAAAGGATCACAATTCTTACACAGCACAACTTCATTTTCAAGAGCACAGAAGTTTGCTCAGAGCAGACAGATGGCCTCAGCTCAGCTTCTGCTACAAATGACTACTTGAATCTTAGGTACAAGGCATGATTCAAACCTGACTGCTGGAGGTGCCAAGAAAAAAAATGATAGCCGCCAGTGTTGCAGTCTGCTGCCCAGCTTATTCCCAAAATGAGACTCTTGCTACTGAGAGCTGACAGCGGGGTTCAGAGATGACAAATGATCAGAAGATAATACAGTCTGTGCAAGTCTTTGGTCTGAACTCTGTCCAGGCTGCCTCTGCAGAAGAGTCGGCATCGACGCTCTGCAAATACCGCTCTTTGGTCCCAGAAGATATAGGTCACACGCGGTATTTATGATTAATCCTCACTGTTAGAGCATGAATCTTCGGCAAAGGATAATTACTTTAATTAGTTCTCAGTGTGTTGTACTGTCTGTGGAGAGATGCTTGCTTACCCTCCTTCCCTGGAGAGCTGATCCCTAAAGGACCTACCTGAAGCGAGTGAGAAGACAGTTGTGTCCCTACGGCACAGTGCAACGCTAACAGCAGTATGACAGAATCAAGTACGGGCCAGGAAAGGTCAAAACCTGCTGCAGGGCTTGGGCTGAATTTGTGCCAAGGGCAGTTTGATATTCAGCTCAGTTTAATGATTCTAAATTTCTTTCTTGGTTTCATTCAAGCATTTAAAAACTGGCTATTTGCTTTTTGCATTTGTTACAATGACTACAACAGCTCGTTTCTAATTTTTGCCTAAGAGCTCCCATTGCCCAGGAGAGTCTTCAAAGAAACAAACAGCCCACCCCTTCCTTGCACTCTTATTTCTGTTTGTTAAATTTCCATTTGATTGAGCTTATCTCTGTACACACCTGGTTCCTTACGCACACTTCAGAAATAAAGAGTTGTACAAATTCTGTACTTTTATTTTTCAAATTTCCTAACAAATTGCAATTCCATCTTCCCCTTGCTGATCACACCGGTCTTCCTTGAAATGAAAGAGCTATTTCTAGCAGTTCTTTACCCAGTTCCTCATGCCTTCCTCCAGCGCTGAACTCTGCAGACAGCTCCCTGAATGTGACACAGATTCGGCGATGCTCTATATGCTTGCGGTAAATCGCGTGTTTCCACTTGTACCGTGCGTCACCGTACAGCACCACCAGAGACCTTCGGGGTAAGTGAATGGCAATAGTCACCTCTTTACTTGGCACAAGCCTTGGGGATAAAATGCAGTTGATTCCCCCTTTGTCTGAATTTTTGCATGCTGACGTCTGTGTAAGAGATCCAGGGGGACTCAATTCCCCATTTTCTTTACTGTAAGTGGGAAATAATTGGATACTGTCCTCTGAATCACAAGACATGGATAGCACGGTTTTTGAGAGCAAGTTTAGGCTAACCAGACGCTCTCCCCAAAGCCACCAGTCATCAAAATGTGGGTCGATGGCAGAACCTCTCTCTGGCATGTAGTCCAGATTACATTGTTCAACAGGTAAGAAACTGCCAAGTACAGAGCAGGCTTTCATTTGTGCCACAATCTTTTTACTAAAACTTGGCAAACCGGTAAAGCTGCCAGCTTTCAGCCTTTGTTTCTTGAAGTTCACTTTGGGTCCATAGTCCTGTTGGAAAAGAAGAGGGGGCGGGGGGAAGAGCTGGTGTTAATCAGAAATCTAGGACGAGTCTTTTTGGAGAGGCTGTGATCCCTACAGGTCTCATGGTCAAGACTTTTGAGTTCTCATCTCTTCCAGTGGCCTGGTCACCAGGTTACAAAAGGACTAAGTGAAGCTACGTTAATTTGTCTGGAATTAGATTTATCACCTGTAAAGTAAAAACAAAACACCCACTTCTTTCACCTGGAGATTGCGTGAACTTTAATGCCTGAACACGCACCATCAAGTATGATTTGTTACAACTACCATATATTTTTGTAAGAAGTTGACTTTAATTACAAGTAATTATTGCAGTTGATTCCAGGAAAAGCTTCCAGTGGAAAATATTAAATGAAACTTGCAAATATTCTGTGTTTTAACTAAAAACAGCTTTCCTTTTCCAGAGAGATCTAAGAACAAATGTGCTCCTAGTGTCAAACCTGTTTCTTTCGGCCAGACTGTGATGGTTTCCAGTCATCTCGATCCATCAGTTCAACTATCTCAGATTCTTCATCTTTGCTAACGAACTCCTCCATCAGAAACACCCCTGGAAATGGAAATGCCCAGCCAGCAAATTCCGAGTGCTCATTTCCTTTAGCTAGGCCTGTTGCTGGACAGTAAGTGAAATTATCTTCTCCCTGTGGAATTAACGTTGGAGAAGAAAAAAAGCAATGGGGAGAAACTTGTCACAGTAAGGCATTTCCATGATTTACCCTTGCAACCTTGATGTTGCAGCATGATTCTTGTAGACATGAGAAAGTCTACAGCTGAGCTGCTTCTGAGGAACAACTCTTCCCTGATTTTATTTTTTAACAGCTGCAGGAGCGTGCTGCTTGCTCGAAGCCTCTTTTCTTTCCTAGTAATGTCTTTATCCTGCAAAGACAGGGAAGAACAGATGCTTCTCGGTGCCAAATGTACAAAGAGATTAATGGTCAGTATTCTGGCGGTAGAGATACGTTTTGTTATATCAATAAATATTGAATGAGGAAAGTTGATAAAAATCGCCCAGGCCAAAAGGCCAAGCTGCAGCGCACCCGCCTTTTCTTAGCGTGTGGCGCCCAGGTGAGGTCCGTCTTGGCTTTTGGGGTGGCCGCGGGCACCTGGGCCGTTCCTGAGGCTCTTTTCACGAACCCCACGGAGGAAGGGGGGTGGGCAGCCCTGCTTTGTCCCCCCGGGGAGCCGTGGCGGGGTCCCCGCCTTCACCCCCACAGCCCGGGCCCGCCCTGAGGGGAACATGGCAGCCGCCCCCCCCCCCCCCCTTCCCAACTCCCCCCGCCGGCCCCGCCCCGCCGGCCCCGCCCCGCCGCCCCCTCCCCGGTACCTGCGGGGGCGGAGCGGCCTGCGCGGGCCCCTCGCAGAGCAGGCAGGAGCGGATCCCCTTGCAGCCGCAGCCCGGCCCGTCACCGCCGCGCCTCTCTTCCATCCCCGCCGGCTTTGCTGAGGATACGGGCCGCCCTCGCCGCCCCCTCCCCTCCTCTCTCCCCCTCCTCTTCCTCCTCCTCCCCTCCCGCCGCCGCCGCTCCCAGGTGAGGGGAGCGGAGTGGGGGCCGAGGCGGCGACGGGGCAGGCGGGCTGCGCGGCCGGGTGAATGGGGGCGTGGGGGTTGGTGTGTGTGTGTGGGGGGGGTGTAGGACTCGCTTTCCCAGCAGTCCGCGCGGCGCCGAGCAGCGGAGCCGGGTCCGGCCGCGCCGCGGGGGCCGCTGGGAGTTGTAGTCCCGCTCCCCAGCGCGCACACACCCGCGGGGGGCGCCCAGGCCTGGCGCCGGCCTGCGCCGCCTCCGGGCTGGGGGCAGCGTGAGGCGGGCGGTCGCGGCCCGGAGCCGCATCCGGGGCCGCTGGCCCTGCCCGGGGCGGTGCCGCGGCCTGCAGCCCGGCAGCCGGTCCCCCGCGGTCTGAGGGGCCGCCGGGGCCTCCTCGCCGCCCGGGCGGGCTGACAGGCCGGCGGCAGGCAGCCGGCTTCGCCTCGGTTTAGCCGAAGCAGCGGTCCGGGCGGCGCGGGGTGGTTAAAACTAAACTAATTTTCCTCCCCGCTGCGTTAGTCTGGCCTGAACCGACACCCTGCCGAGCCCGGGAGATGATGCTGTGGGGCGGGAGGAGGGTCGGTGGCTGCTTCTGGCCGAGGTCCCTCGTTTGGGTGGGTTTTGGGGTTCGTCGGGGTGACGGAAGGCGCCTTCTGCAGCATCACCCGTGGCGTTGGGGTGATGGGGCCGTGTTCTGTGGTGGGCTCCCCTGGGGTCACAGCTGTGGCTGAGGTGTTGGCGTGCTCAAAAAGAGGGTGATGGGAACATCCGCAGTCGTCGGTGTCAAATTTTTGTTACAGATACTGGAGCTTAGGGAGGTTCGTTAGGCCTGATCCTATGGTTTGGCTTTCAGTCATAGCTCTGTTGCTTGAAGGATCAAATCCTCAACAGCTGCTGTTCAAACTGGTTTTCAGGCTCTGTGTTCTTTATGCAGGTACAAACTATTCCATACATGAAGGATTGTCCTTACTTACAGGTGTTAACAAAGCAATGCCCCATTGCTTATCAAACCCGATGGCCCGGGTGCTGTAGGCATGTTATGGTGCTGAAGTCAACCTTGAGGACACCTTAGTGCCTCGTGTATTCCTCACAGCTTACTGGAGTAGGCAGTGGTGAGACTAACACAAAAAGACAATAGTGATCCTGCCCTTGGAGCTCTTTTCTCTTCTATTTCCCACTCTTGGAATCCATGTCAGAAAGAGCGGTAAGCCACAAACCAGTAATTTCATGAAGCTAATTTGCCCCTATCAGTGTTACTATTCTAAATACCAGTGTATCCGTGTGTGCGCGTGTACTGTCCTATCCACAACGATGCTTGAAAACATCTACTAATTACCAATAACATACAGAATGCTGTTGATTTTTTTTTCTCCATGGTGAGAAAATTATGTTATTGATTGGTGGGGATTCACATTTCTGGTAATTAATTCAGTTTTCCAAAGTTTTAGGGAATTTAGAAGTTGTCAGCCAAGAGTCTATCCATCTGGCTAGGCCAGTGAGCGCACTGTGTCTTTTCCTTGGGAGGAAGACATTCACACCAGGTGTATTTATTCTTACTGTTGCTGTTTATTTGAAATCATGTTGCAGTTCTTAGAGCACAGCCCTGATGCTCAGGAGAGGTACAAACAGGTAACAGCGAGTCTGGCCTAGCCCTGAGTGCCATCACCCCGCGGACAGCTTTCATGTACAGCAAGTCTGTCGCTTTAATAGCCAAGGGAGGTATCACTGTTGTTTTGGGGATGGGTTGGGTCAGCGTGTTGGGAGCGTGTGCCCAGCGTAATAACAATCTCTGGTATTTTCATTTCAACCATGTGAGAAAGGTGACTTCACACACAGCAGCAAAATCAGTAGCTAACCTCATAACTTTTTTTTTTTTTTTCCCCCTTTTGGAGTCAATTGAAAGGACTTCCTCTTATTCTGTTTGTTTTACCAGGAAGGTTACAAGAAGAGATTCTACAGCTGACCGATTAGTGATTCCAGCAGAGGGGTGGATACTAAAAATGTCAAAAATCACTACAGAACTCCTTTTGGAAAGAGCAGTCCCAAGATCTACAAGGCTTCGAAAGATTGAGACACTGAAGTAAGTGCAGATGGGCCCGTGGAAAATTCCAGCTGAATTCAGCCTGGGTCATCCTTTTTTTGTCTTTCTTCCTCTAAGCATTTTTACTGAAAAAAGAGAGACAGTTACAAAGCACAGAACGGGAGATGGCATTCTCGATGAGTGATCAGTGAGCACTAGTGGAACTGCATTCATGAGATAGGTTATCAACAATTACCACCTCTTTTCACCATTTATATTACATACATGCTGTCACCTTTCTTCTGTAAAACTGCTTGAGGCTGGATCCCGATTTCCTAACCCCAAGATATCCCTACATAACCCTGCCTAAGATATCCCTACTTCCTGTCCCCAAAACACTTCTGTCTTTGCTAGCAATTGCTTAATGTGAATAAGAGAATCTCTCCTGACCTGGATTTTAGAGTGTTTTTAAAATATTTTTGGCATTATTTCTTCTCCCTTTTCCCCTCCCTCCATCACTTTTCATCTCCCCTGAATCCAGTTATATTAGTACCTCAGACTAGGAGGATACCTCGGAGAAGGAGAATAAACTCTGACACACTTAGAAACCACTAAAACCAGTTTTGTTGCTCAGATCCTTAACAAAGGTCATCAAAAATACATGTCTTTCCAAATATTTAACACAGTGGAATTCTTCTATTCCAAAACTGGTCAATCCAAGTTACTCAGCTAGCCAATATCTGTCTGGCACCTTTGTTGTTTTTGTTGCTGATGTAAGAGTTTTGGGTTTCACATGTACTCTTTAAAGTTATTTCTTTTAGTTTGTCTTGTGCTAAAATAATTTGAAGAGAAACTCAAACATTTATCTGAATAGTATAGGCTGCAGTAATCTCAATAACAAAATGATACTGAGATATTTTGAAGCAGTGAATTTCTAGAGTGTGGCTTTTTCCATGCAGCTTCGTGCCATGATTTTGAAAGGTTGTATTTCAGAAAGTCCATTTGGGGAACACTGTGTTGAGTTTCTCCCCAAAATGACACAGTAGTCACACTCAGCTTTGCAGCCATCTGAATTCTGTTCAACTTTTCTTATATGCTTGGACTGGCTGGTTAGGCTTCTGAGATAACAAGGGAAGGAGAAATTGTCTTGCTTCCTAATTTTATTTACCTCGTTTATTCACACTTCGTTTATATTTAGAAGGCCTTTTAAAATTAATCATTAGAGATGGAGATTCTGTTTCCTAAAGGAATTCAGGCTTGTGTCTTCAAGAGATGTTGGCTGTCAGGACTAGAAAGCTACCTTTGGAGCTCAAGTAAATGATCTAATCAAATCTAAATGACCCTCTTTATAAAACGCAGTTTTCACTTCCTTACAGAGAAGGAATATTCTTTTCCCCTCATAAATATTGTACCACTTCCTCTTTCAGGACAGAATGCTTCTGTTTTGATGGCAGCCTTGGGATTTTGTTAGGTAGATTTCTGTATTTGCCATTGGAAGTTTTTGCAGCAGCATTCACTGTAAAAGAAATGGAAAAATCACTTTTTTGTGAAATTAGTTCTTTGAAAACAACCAAATGATTTTGGGACCTACTCTGCCCTTGGCCTGAACTTAACTTCCAATGCAGAGAAGAAAAGTTTTGAGCCAAATCAGCAAACTGATCCAATTTGCCACGTTGTTGTGTGAGTGCAGGTGTCAGCACAAAGTGAGGGGGAGGACATGGCTAGCCTTTTGGAATCACCATAGTCTTATATTGCTTACAGCAGTTGTGAGATGATGATTTCAAAAAAATGAGTGAAATAATGAATCTAGAGCATTCTGTGGACAGGTTAGACTGATGGTCTAGGGGATAAGTGGCTTGTATTTCCACAGCTTGTTCTGTTGAATTTACATTGCAAAGGAATAAAATACCAAACTTCTTAGAGGTGTGGTATTTTTTTTCTATGAACAGGAACTTTTCTGGTGATTCACTGCTCACAGCCAGCTCTGTTACCCACAGGAGGTTGATCTGTATTGTATGTTAATTGTACTGCAAATACTTAGGTAGACTTGAGTCTCTGATGGTGTCTCTTAGCTCAGATGCAGCATCTTTTCCATGTATGTGTGCTTGCAGACAAGAGAGCAGGTTTGGTCAGATTTACCCAGTGCATTGTGCTAGACTGAGAGGTGCCACCAGGTGGGACCTTATATCCTGTGAAAGTCAGCACTTGTTTTTCCAGTGAACTGCAGGTAGTTCATGTTCTCTTTTGTTTTCAGCCTGTCCAAGCTGCAGTTGAAGACTGGAGACTTAGACCCGCGTTTGTTTTCCCGTCTGAGGCATCTGCAGAAACTAGATCTCTCTGATAATTTACTGGACAAATTTCCCAGCAGTCTAACCCTGCCTGATCTGCGTGTCCTAAACTGCAACAACAACAAACTGGAAGATGTAACTGCTTTGAAACAGTTCCCTCTGCTCGAGGAGCTGACTTATGAGAACAATGTGTACTTGACAGTGAGTTACCTCCCATCCTTATAGGCGAAGCATTAAATAGAGGGAGAAACAAACAGCAGTTAGGCCCGGTTCTTATATACTGTTCTTAGGCAGCAAGTGTTAGGGCATCTGAGAAAGCAGACAGTCTTTTGTGCCCCTTCACCAGTTTGTGCCACTATTTCCGAATCTGCAGAAGTGGCTTGCCCAAAACCACCCAGATATTAAAATCTGGGTATTTTGAATGTCTGATTCTCCAAGGCAGGGTCCCATCTTAGGCTTGTCAGGCAGTACATCTTATGCTCATGCTTGTGTAAAATACAGTAATGATTCTATAGAAATGTCCTTCTTGTATGTTACTTTTAGTGCCCTATGTACTCTGGAAGAGCAGACTTGGTCTTCTGCTTAAACTCAGTGATTAACTCTAGTTTAAGTTTTCTGACTTCTCCCAAGAGGCTCTGCTGACTGCACAGTTTAACGTTAAAATTACAAAACTGTAATTTGTGCTTTAAACTGGCATCAGCCACCATCGCTGTCCCCCAGATGCTTATTTGCTGGTGCATGCAGGCAGAAGTATGTGTATGCCTGTTTGGTAAACTGGATTGGGGAGCTGCTCTGGCCTAGAAGGCGCCTGACCCAAAGAAGCCCTGCTTCACGTAGGTTTACAGTGGGCAAGGCCGGCCTTCCTCTGTTAGATGCTCTCTTAGTTAAAGGGTGAGAACGGAATGCCCTGCCTTGCACTGGGGCCGGAGCAGATGAGCCCGGTTCCACCGCCGCCACCTTGTGTTGGGTGCCAGTACTGCATGAGTGTGGGGCAGGTCTTTTGTCTGCAGTTGAAGATCACAACTCACAGGAGAAAGTTGACTTACAGCTAAAAGGTGATAATCGAGTTGGAAGTGCTGAGAAGATTTTGTGAAGTGGCTTTTCCTGACTAAATACATTCTTCTCATCCTTGGCTGTATTTTAATAAAGGACTAAAGCTAAAGCAAGTACCACTTGTACAGTTTTTGTAACTGTTGTCTTCTCTTTCTAGCTCAATGATGACTATAAAGTAATGTTTCTTTTGCAAAATCTTCGGCTACTCAATGGCAAGGATATAACCAAACTGGCTAATCACGTGAGGCGTGTCAATAGTCGTAAGCTGACCAGCAAGGTAAGACATGTGATATTTTCTTCTCTAAATATCTGAGAAATAACTAAATACTGTGCTCAGTTTAATGACAGGGTTGCAAGCAAGGATCAAATTGTTAACAGTAATTCTGGTATGAGCTGAGCACAGCCCACGGTATAGTCCACTGAGTAAATGCCTCACTACTGCTTTCTCTGGTCACTGTTTGCATTTGCTCTACCTGTTCTCTGTAGTCAACTTCTGCCTTCACTTTAAATCACAGGAGCAGGGCCAGCAAGGTCTGTGTCTGACCCTCTAGTTTTTCAAGTCATTCCAATCATCGTTCAAAAATGGGAGAAGCCTGGTGCTGACGTAACAGCTGCATTTATATATACCTCCCCATCTAATTTACATTACTGTCCCAGCTGCAGGAATGGGGAGCACAGAACCAAGCTCGGGATAATCTTGCTTTTTCCAGCATACACCAGGAACAAGGATTTGTTCTTTCTTCTTCAGCTGTGCATGTTTGGAACTGTATTTTCACTCATTTACGTACACAGTTTCGCTCCTGCCAGATTGTCCTCACAAAGCACGTGATCTTGAGCAAAACTATTGTTCTGTTATGAAAAAGGTGGGTTTTTTTGTGCAGTACTGCTCTTACTATTTGTATTCTAGATAGCTGATCTTGTTAATTCCTTTTGTGTAGCAGTGGTGGAGAGATCAAATACTGAAGACTGGGATGGCCTATTGTGCTAAGTGTTATCTGTGTAATATCTTGTACCTCAAAGGGTCTTGGTGAGGGCTGCTCAGCCTCTTATCCTCCAGGCAACTGGGCATGGTTGGCTGTTTAATAAGACACCAAATACTCCCCCATTCTGTTCATTTTGTGCTGATATCTGTGCCCCACATCCTTTTCCCTGATGGTACCTGGCTGCCCACTTCTTACTGCTGTGTCTGACATCAGATATCTGTTGAGTCCAAATGCTTATACCTGTGTTACTACCCACCAGAAACTCTCAGATGGGAAACTGTGCTGGTAGGTGAGCATCTGCATGATTGTGCCCATAGTGCAAAAGCTTTTTGGAGTCAAGGTATCTATAAATGGGGATGACATTAGATTTATAGATACCAGGCAACAGTCCTGCTCACGCACGCACTTGAACTGCAAGAAAACTCAAACATCCCTGTTATCCCATGCCTGTTATAATAAATCAGTTACCTGTGAGGTTACTCCATGTTAGTAGGGCCCAGTGTAAGACTCCTTAAGACCATTTGTTAGGGATCCAGAGGCATGAAATAAGGCATTGCTTTGGATCCGTGTTGACAGTATCTGCTTAGCCACACTCACTTAAGCTTGGTCCAGAGGAATTGGGTTTCTTGTTAGCTGAAGACATGGTTTGAATGCTGATAAAATAAATGGAAGCAGTGCCATCATGTAGCTAGCAGAGCGTCAGGGTTGGCAACTTCTTAATTGCTTTCACAAGTACTCTTGTGCTTTTCTGCTCTGGTTTTCTGTAGTATTCTGTTGAGTAAACTCAGTCTTTCTGCCTAGGTTACTGCTCACTGGAAAAAATTCTTTCGTGACCAACTTCCTGAGAAATACACAGCTGAACAAGTGAAGGCCATCAAGAAGAAGTTCCTGAAGTCAGTGCAAACCAATGTAGTGTATGGACCCAGCTCACTCAGTGAGTTCACCCGCTGGCGGGTAGGTTACATTTCACTTACCCTGCTGTTCTTCAAGCAGAGATTCTGCAGCCTGATTCTGAATGGATTTGATTAAAATGCTCTGGATTTGTGTTCAGGGTATCAGGGCCCTTGCAGACAGGTGGTATCATTTTTTCTGGTTTTCTTCACTGTTTTGTTAAGCAGTTACGGGAAGCACTAGGGCTACATGTGCACCAAATTGCAGTGACTGCCATTAAACATTGTTTTTTTAATTCACAGCAATAATGATACTTGTCATAATGAACAAGACTACAGTATCCTTAGTACTTAATTATTTGCAAATAACTCTTAATAGCAAACTTTAGTCTTGATGGAAGCTGTATGAAAGAAGAAAAGGTAATGACAGAACTGTAGTTACTTCCAGTGGGGAAAGATACCATTTAGTTTGTAACATGTTTTAATTGTATGTGCATACATACAATTGAGGCTTCCATCTCTCCTTTGTCTTGTTTCATTGCTGTGCTGTCATTTTTGCAAATGTGTACCCTGGGTGCCCATGACGAAGTAAAGTTCTCGGGTCATGTAATGTCAGCAGAGGAATTGGCCTGCCAGACTGTTAGCTGAGGGCTCCTCCATGACTTGTGAAATTCACGTAAAATAGTAGAAGCGGATAATAAAAACTCAGCAAAGCAGCTCTTGTCATTATACATCAGAGTTTGTTGCTGTTTTGTTTTTGGTTTTGTTTTGTTTAATTTTTTTTTAACAAATCCACATACTTGCTTCTAAGGTGAAAATGATTGCAGAAGAGTTTCTGGCATATTCACTGGGTCTGGAGTTAAACACAGATCCTGAACCAGAGGAGGCGAGGGATGAGAATGAGGAGGAAAGTACAGAAAGCCCCAGGGAAGCTGCAGAGGTTGTGGATCAGGTAGGTGATTTTTTCCAATTACATTAACAACGTCCTTTTTATTTGTTACGAATTCAGTAGCACTTACCAGTTTACATTTATGACCTTCTGGTAACCATAGGGGCAGTCTCAGGCTCCAGCCTGTATTCAGCAGCTGAGGCTTGTTCTCTATGGCCAGACTGAAGCTTTCCCAGCAATGTGAAGGTTGAGTTGCTCTCCAAGAGGAGAGAGCTTCTGTTCTCATAGGAGACCCAAACGATTTCATGAGTGTAGTCCTACTGACTCCACCTCTCCTTTGAGGAAGGGACATTTTTAATGAGAGAACTGGGCTGATGCATGGCCAGACTGTGATGGTGTTTGCCTTCTTTGAATTGGCTGCGGACTGAACCCCCACGGTCCATGGGCCACATCTGCTTTTCCACATCATATGTAAATTGCAAGTAACTGGGACAAGGGAAGTGAGATGAAAATGAGGTTGGCTGTGTGATTTTCGTTAGCTTCTGCCTCTAGGAACTCTGCAGCTGTGAGCTGTCTGATCCTTGGAACCCAGTCTGTAACTCTGGAAGTGTACTTGCATTTGAATAATTAATCTCTCTGACTTAAAAATCATTTGCACATCTTGGGAAAGCTAGAAATCTTCTGCCGAAACTGACAGTATGCCTTACAGGTCACAGTAGTGCCCAGCAAGAGGAAAAGAAGTAATTCAAAAGCAGGCTCTGGAAACAAGAGAGCCAAGTCCCAGGCAAAGACCAAGGAGGCAGCTGCAGTTAATCCCAGAAAGTCCAGTTGTGTGCAAGATGAGCCAGTTCCTGATAAACCAAGAACATCGGACCAGCCAGCCAAAGAGGCAACCCCTGAGCAGGGAGCTGAAGAGACAGATGGGAATGGAGAGCAGTTTCCCAAGGGGCAAAGCAACAGAAGATCCAGCCAGCTGCCAGGGGAACAGAAAAGCCAGGAGCAGGACAACGGAGTTGTTAGCTTGATCCCAGTGAAGAACTCCAAGGGTAAGGTATGTTCATCAGCCCCCTTGGAACTGGCGTCTGGCCTCTTGGTTTAGTGGGAGGAGCCTCATTCAAATTTCATCAGAGCTCTGCACACCTTGGAGCTCATAATTGGCCAGATATATTGTGAGTTACAGTTTTTATTTTTGTTTTGTTGTTGTTTTAAATCTCTGAGGCGTCAGGGAAGGGCCCCCCCTGGAGAAGTGAATCCCCTGCAGGGGATGGATGGACCAGCACTCTGAGGTGGTGCACTGAAAGTCTGTTCTTAGAAATGGACCTGGCGTGACTTGCTCTCAGGTCAAACTGTTGGCTGCATGGGAAAAGGTGTTTCCCCTTCAGCTCAGACCAGTGGGGATCTAAAGGGTTTTTCACATTTCTCTGCAGCTGGAAGTGGGGTTCACTGCTGGGCCTGCTGGTTTAGGAATCTTGAGCATTGGTGGTGACACCTCAGTCTCTCCTGTTCTCTGTAGCACAGAAGGGCTGAAAAATATTTCAGTTTAATTCAGATTGCTGTGTTCAGTAGAGGGTTCTGTCAAGGCAATCACAGACAAAACACTGTCAGGGGAATGAATTTTCTAAATGTGGATGGTTTATTGTAGGAGGATGTCAGTGCAGAGCCATTGCATTTTCTTCAGTGTCACAGTAAAGGCAACAGCCGCGAGGATTTTAAAACGCAGCTCTGGTCCTGTGTCTTCGAGCCATTGCTAGACTGTGGAGCCAGGAAAGGTGAGCCCTTAAAGAGGTTTGCAGGATTCCTAGAACCACCCGGCTCTGGAATCCCAGCGGACTCCATGCGTTAGACCCTGCTTCTTCAAGCTGTAGTCTCCGTTGTCAGGAAGAGACTTGCTTACGTACTTCTTCTTTGACTTTGAAAACAGGAGACTGGGAGAGCACGAGGCAGTGATAAGCTGCAGTCTTCACATGTTATCGGTGAACCTGGGAACGTCTCACCTGTTCTTTTCATCTTTTAGATCCCATTGTGAGCTCCTCCAGAACTGTGGCAACGTGTGGAGGGGAATCTGTCTGTCTGATTGATTGTGAGACGGGGACGGTGCTGAAAAAGTATAAGGTGACTACAGAGGTAGGTTGCAACTGGGAGAGTAAGCATTGAGTGGGAATACCATAATCCATTATAATTACATACAGGTATACCTAATGTATATTACAGAGAGGCCTGAAAGGGTTTCAAGCATTACCATGGACAGGCCCTAAAAGGATGAAGATAGGTAGTAAACATATCTTGCTTACCCTTTTAGCCTGGTTTGGTTTTATTTTTTTATTAGTTTATAAGATTAGTTTGCCTCTTCTCCTCACACAGGCATATGGATGTGTATCCAGGCTGCTAAGCCTGCTTGACAGCACAGAGGAGTAAATGTCCTGTTTTGATAGTTTGTGTTCTTCTCAGGGTTGTTTTGAGATGTGATGCTCCAGCTCAAATAGTCATGTCATTTTACCTGGATAGCTCTTGTGATAGTTGTCTTATCTCTGAGCAAACGGCCGTCCTGCTGACTGTTCTCTTTCACGCTATATTTTTGGTTTCTTTCTAACCTAGGAGTTTTTCAGTGTTGCATGGACAACCCTCACAATGGTAATCAGCGACAGTCGGAAAAAATCTCATAATATCTTGGCAGCTGCTGGGAGGAGAGGGATCGTCAAACTGATTCATGTGGCAGCTGACTTCTGCTATGGAGAGATAAAGGCTCATAAAAAGCCCATTGCTACTGTCTGCTTCAGCCCAACTCGAGAAACTCACCTCTTCAGTAAGTCTCTGGTTCAGAATCATTGTAACTTTAGTACCTAATGTAGAAAAGGCTGGGCTTCCTTAAAAAGGGGAACTGTCACCAGTGCAAGCAGGTGCAGGTAGGGACTGCACAGACATACGGAAAGCATGGGCAGACAGACACTGGGGTGGGAATACTATTAGTGTCATAGGGCAGCAATCTGCAGAAGGTACAGACTGTTTCAGCTAGAACCTGACCCTTTAGCTGGGTGCAGCAGCTCCTGTTTCGATAGCTCTCGGGGTGGCTGTCACACACACAGTAGCCACAAAGGAGCCCGGTAGTGGATCCGTTCCGCAGGGATGAGTGAGAAGAATGGTTGGTAGCCAGAGCAGCCTGCTGGGGGCCGGGCAGCGAGCGGTCAGCTGGCAGGGCTCTCATCGAGCATGGCAACAGGGGCAAGGCAGCGTATAATGGGCTGCTGGATTTCATTTTTTTCCAACGAGCAAAACTATGTGCTTAATTGCTTTTGAATAAATGAAGATCTTTTGGGGGTTCTGTGCCTCGTCAGAAATTTTTATTCAGGTCCTGCTGCAGAAGAGCTGTGCCACAGAAGGGCCCACAGAGGCTGAGGGACAGAAAATGAGCCATCATATTACAAATTGCAGCTGCATTGTCAGGCCTGAACAGTTAGCTGTTACAGAGCCATTCAGACCACACCTGCACCCCACAGCACATTGTTTCTCTTGCCTACAATTATCCACATCCTGGAGTGGTTAGACTGCTACATGAACCATTAAAAGTTGTTTTTTGTTTTGTTTTTTTTTTTTTAAACATGGGTGGCTGTAGTGGGTACTTTTCAAGCAGAAGCTCAAGAGTGCAAAAGGTAGAAGCCCTGAGGGATAAGGAGGTTGGTAGCACCTCCATATAATAGCATGGACAGCAAGGCTAGTTACATAGCATAGAAGAATTTATAGTAATAAAGTGAGAGTCTTTGCATACCTGTTTGGAGACTGGACTCAAACCCGTTTACTCCCAGTTTGAGGGATGCCATCTGATTAGGATCATTTCTGCTGTCAGTATATCAGCTTGGTGACAAAGACATTAAGACACTTTATGCCAGTGACCAACTTTCCCAGTGGGAGCTGCTGTGGATGTGAACGCAGTAAGCTGTGGATATGTGGAATAAAATGACATCTGCCTGAGAGTAGAGGTTGGAGCTCATAGTTTAGATCCCAGTAGAACCCATAACCAGAAACAGGAGTTCAAAGGGGCCCTAATTAATGACCTTGTGAAGCCACAACTCAGTAGTGAACAACAGGAACCAAACTTTCTTTTATCTGCTCCTCTTGGAGCATGGGATAAGAATGCAAATTACTGCATGTTTGACAATGTCTGTGAAGTGGTGTTGAGCCAGGAGCCTCCGTGACTGCTGCTGTGCTTTAATGAGCTCTCTGCTGCCACAGGCTCAGAGCGTTACAGCCTGTGACACAGGTAGAATTGCCAGCTAGCACGAGAAGAGCCAGATGAGCAGTGGTGTCACTACCTGCTTCTCTTCTCTGTCCCATAGCTGCATCCTATGACAAGCGAATTGCACTCTGGGATATTGGGATTCCAGACTGTGACTACAATTTCAAAGCAAGGTAAAGATTCAAATACCAGATGTGGCCAGTCCAGGAGCCTATAACTATCGTGTCACAGCAACACTTAACTGCTTGTTCTGTTTTTCTTCTTTTAGCCAGCTGCTGGTGCTGGAAGCGCTCTCTATTCCCTTACGGATTGCCCTGGTCCCCACCTGCCCAGATCAGTACCTGCTCGCTGGCTGTGAAGGCGGCTGCTTTGCGTGGAATATAAAACTGGATAAGGAACAAAAAAGCAGGCAAGAACCAAAAGCTGGGGCCATGCATTTGTTTTCTATAACAAGAAGAGGTAGTCCTAGCAAAGGCTTTATTGCCAACCAAGGAGGTCTGAGCAAGAAAAGCAGCATGTCCTACCAAACTTAAAACATAGTCCCCCTCCCGTAGCAGCAAGAAAAAATTTGAGAGTAGTGCCAAAGGAGTGATCAAAGCTAGCAGCCCTGAGCTTGTATTGATGCTCCACTCTACAAGCACTGCAGGCTGCTTTGAAGCTGACATGTGTAATACAATACCCTAAAACTTAAGGGCGTATCATCTTGAAATAGTGTAATGGAGTATAAATTCTTGGATCGAGTTTGAGTTTCACAGAAAGGCCTACCCTGCTTCTAGTATGTGAGGTTACCCGGGAAACTGGCACGCTATGGGAGCACAGAAAAAAATTAGAAGAAAGAAGCAAGTGAAGTCATGCCCTGCTGACATATACTAATCCTACTGGATATCCTACTTATCCTACCAGGGTGCTGCTACAAAAACAGATGAAGTAAAACAGCAGTCACTTAAACAAATGGGCTTCTGCTGTATTAATAAGCTCAGGTGGCCGAAAGCCTAAGTTCCAGTGGGAATTCACCCAAGTTTGGCAAGAGATGCCCTAACACATGCATTTCCTTCTGAGTTCTGTACCCGCCTGCCCTTCCACTGCTGCCTGTTCAGGACTTGACTCATTTTACCCTTCCCCTTCCTCTAGGCCTTTTGAAGTCCTATTCCAGTTTCCTGATGAAGATGGAGGCATGTCAACATCTCACAGAGTTGATGGTGTGGCTTTTCTGAATGATGATATTGTTGGTGAGTATAAGCACAATAGCTCAATCCAGGAAAACAGCATGTGGCAGCCTGAAGCCAGCACAATGAGCAGAGGGACTGAATAGGGTGCGACTCCCTCTTTAGATTTTTTTGGGGGCTAAACAGAATGGAGTGGTCTCCCAGAGTCATTATCTTTCCCTAAACTGTGGGCAAACTCATGTCTGAGCAGGGCTGGAATTTGAGTGGACCCATCAAGAGCACACCTGGCTGAGCGGTGCTGAAGGGCGAGGGAGGAGAGTTTCTGTCTGCTCACAGGCTGGTGAAAGCAGAACTTTTTTGCAGGGGGATTGGGGATTCCCACAGGTGGGAGAGTGCTTAAAGCATGGGCTGGGTTGTTCTGAATAGCTTATGCTTGTTCTGCAGTTCAGGAACATACACAAGGGACTGAAAATCCCTCTGCAGCTTCCAGTTATCCTGAAATACAGTAAAGGAGACAGAGAGTTGCTGCTGGTATCAGGTCCCACATCTTAAAAGCCACCTGAGTGGACCACCTGCACCAGTGGCCAGGCACTTGTCAGCAACTAACAGCCTCTCCCATCTTTCTTCCCCAGTTTCCAAGAGCTCCAAGCTGGGCTGCATATACTTATGGAGCTGGAGTCGGTCTTTTGACACAAAGGGGAAGGGATGCCAGCGAACGGTCGCCGCGTTTATTTTAGCTGAGCTGGAGTGGTCCACGACAGACCTGTCCTACTTGACGCTCAGCACCTGCCCAGGTAGGCAGCACCAGGGCCTGCAGCAGACACGGCTGCACGGGGCGAGATTTACTGTGAACAGTTGTGGGTGCCTGCCCTCCCACCCCTCGGGGGAGCCTGGATTTCAGTCCCCTTCAGAGAACACATGTCTGGCCTCCCCCTCTGCAAGCAGCAGTCCAGCACCAGCTGTGTGTAAATAATTACAGCTATACTGTCTCCCATACAATGGGGGAACAGCTCAGGCTTACAGTTACGTTGACTTGTACAGGTCTTCAAAGCACACAGAGCTGGTGGCTTGGCCCTGCAGCTTTTCTGGAACCCTTTTAATGCTCAGTGCACCTGAAGCAAGGAGCAGGAATTCCACACAGGTGGCAGCTGGTTTTAAGACTGACGGGAAATGAACCTGATGTGTCTGCCACTTCCCAAATCCAAAAAGTCAGAAGAAATACCAAAACATTTATCACTAGCTTTTCTGTACCAGAATGAGACAGCTGATTTATCTTTAAATAAATTTACTTTTTTCAGAGCAAGGTAGATGAATATATTTGTGCTGGAAAGGGAATTTTGCTGAAATATGATGTCCTCCCCTGGGATCCTGCAGCATTGTCTTGAGCTCTGGTCTAGAGAGGAAGAGACTCAGATCCACACTTTTTTGTTTTCCACCTCCTTTTGCTCTTACAGCAAAAGACTATGTGTTCTGTGGCGATGAGAAGGGAAGCGTGTGGATGTACAACCTCTCCAAATACATCACAGCATGGAGCTCTGCAAAGGGAAAACGCTCAGACAAGAGGATCCCTCCCTCACAGGTGGGTCTGTCTCCTTCACCCTCTGGGGTGGAGATGGGCCGCCCTCCTGCCCCGGTGCAAGCTGTCCCGAGGCTCCTGCACAGATTTACACCAGAACATGCCTTGTGTTTTCTACACCTAACACTCCCAGGCAGTTAAAAGCAATCCTCTCGCCAGAGCATGACCAAGGCTCACACAAACACAACTCTGACAGGAATTAGGAGCTGTAAAGCAAGTCTGTTTGCTCCTGCATTCTGCAGCCTGGCAGAACTGCACGCAGGAAAGGGCTCACTGCCCCCCTTTTCCTGCTGCGTATTTCTCTGGCCTCTGGAGCCCGTCCTCTTTTGGGCAATTGCTGTTCCCTTGCATGATGAAGGCACACACACTCAAAGGCTCTCACTCCAGAGTGTGTTCTTGAGCTATCATTGTATGTAGGTATGACGTGATCCAGTGCCCCCTAAACTTTTTAAAAGCGTATTGCCCAAGTCAGCAGTCAGCCCCAGCTGCCTTCACACCTTCCTTTCTGATCACGTCCCCCTGTGTTGAACCCTGCTCCTTTGGGAGGGGGGCCACAGAGCTGCACCAGCTCCCTCGGAGAGCAGGACAGTTCTGTTCAGCTTCCCCAGGTTGGTAGGGAAGTGGATTCCACAGAAATCCAGTCATCAAACCAGGCCTTGCAGTAATTAATAACCTTCCACTTTCAGAGACAATACCACCCTTCCTTTCCTACCCAAACTCTGTTTCCTCCTAGATTCTCCAGTGGCCAGAGCTTCGCACCAACAGTGAGCAGCTGACTGAAGTCCTAATAAACAATGTGGTGTCAGACCCTACTTTTACTTACCTTGTTGTTCTAACTAGTGTGAACATAACAGCAATTTGGAAGAAGTCATAGTCCCTCATAACAGATTTTCATTCCCGTGCTTTGAGATAGTGCAGTATTAGTGACCATTACCCATGTAATCATGAAGTTTTCTAGATCAGCTATTACATGCAAGAAAAAAAAAAAAAAAGGAAAAGGTAAGAGTTTGTAAAACTCATCGAGTCAGTGTAAACATCCAGTTTCTTTTACTGTAAGTTTCCACAATTTGTGCATTTGTTTTAAAGAAATGACACTTAATAAAACAAAATACCAGCTCAGTTGGCAGTGCCTAGACTTTTTTTAAAAGGAGAAGCAGAGAGTTCATCTACTGCTATGACACAGCAGCTTCTCATTCTGGAATCACACCCACAATAAACTTGCCAGCAGCCCAGTACAAATATTTGCCTTAAGGCGCCAGTTAGAAGAGCAGAGATCACTTTAATGACTTATCCACCAAATCAAGACATTTACCCTCTTGGCAAAGTGCCTGTCTAGTATTAAAAAAAAAAAAAACAAACCACCTCAACATATCACTGCTGCTTTCAGAAATGACACAAACAGAAGTGGGACAAGGGGGAAAATATTTGCCATGACCGGGGGTTTAAATAAAACATCCAACTAACAGATCCATCATTATATCATTCTGCCTCAGAAGTACAGTCCACTTGATTTTACTCCACTCCTTCTTGTTTATCTTTAATAGCAACCTGCAAAACACAAACAAAAACACATACACTAAGACAAGAACTGTTACTGAGCTGGAGGATGATAGTTTAAACATTCGTAACAATCTGCTGTGAAACACAAGAACCACCACAAACCATCAGTGGAAATCTCCACCATCCAGAAGAATAATACTTAAAACATATTTACAAAATTGCCATGCTGTTATGTTTCACCAGCACATCAGCGAACATTACACAGACAGTAATGTTCATGGTCCCCCTGGTTTTGTCTAAATAACCTTTAGGACAGATTAAGTCTCAAAAATCGGGGGCTAAATAAATACACAGTTGAGCAGAAGCAATGAGAAGTGGCCAGAAATACTGTCCGAGTTTTGGCAGAAGTATTAAAAAAAAAAAAAAAAACAGAATAACGCAAAGCAGCTCTAAGATGCACTACCCCTCTCTTTGTTTCACTTTGAGCTGCAAGAAGCTCAAATACTTGAAAAAAAAAGAAACGAACTTACCCTGAACCTCTCCTCGAGGAGGGAGAGCTCACTGATCAGATCCGTGATGGCGTTGGTGAAAGCTTCCTGAGGGCTGTAATCGGGGGTGGTTTGGACGCGGATGATAATTTTGTGTTCCAGCGGGTGTGGGACCTTGTACCCTGCAAATAACACCTGGGGGTCCTTCAGTAACTGCCTGGAACGGAAAAGCGGCCGTGAACAACCCCGCAGAACAAACACAAATGCTTCTGAATTAAAAAAAAAAAACATTAAAAAGTCGTGTTCAACGCGCTTTCAAACAGGGCACCCTCGGTGTGTCTGGGGAGGCGATGCCCTCTCCCTCCTAACGGCAGGCTTGCTTCGCCCGGACCTGACATCTACCACAACACGACAGAATGTTTGTGAGGGGGGAGAAAAAATTAAAAAAAAAAAAAAGCCCCAACCTTTTCCCTCGCCCCAAATTTCCCCACCCCCCCCGCCTTCTCAGCTCACGACTTGATGATGTTCCCCAGCGTGTGGTCCTCCTTGTTGATGGTGAAGAGGCAGGCGTTGGGCACCTTCGTGTCCTTGTTGATGGCCACCCTGCGCGGACACAGGCAGGCGGTTACCGCCGCCCCCGGGCCCCCCCTGCCCCCCAAAAGCCGCCCCCCCCACCCCCCCCCACTCACTTCTTTTCGCCCTCGAAGAGGAGGAACGACTCGAAGGCCGGAGGCGCGTTCATCCCGCTGCTCGCGCCGCCGCCGCGTCACTTCCGCCCGCTCCCGGCGGCCACAGCGCCCCCAGGCGGGCGGGAGGGCTCGGCGCAGGCGCCCCGTCACGTCCCGCCCCCCCCCCCCCCCCATGACGTCACCGTCGGTGACCATAGGAAGTGGTGATGTCAGCGGTGATGCCACGAGGAGCAGCACCAGCGGTGGTGGCCCCCACCCCCATCCGCGCCACCCGCAGGGCCACCACTGATGTCACCAGTGCCACCGTCAGCAGTGATGCCACCAGCAGCAGCAGTGATGACACCAGTGCCACCGTCAGCAGTGATGTCACCAGTGCCACCAGCAGCAGCAGTGATGACACCAGTGCCACTGTCAGCAGTGATGTCACCAGCGCCACCAGCAGCAGCAGTGATGACACCAGTGCCACCGTCAGCAGTGATGTCACCAGCGCCACCAGCAGCAGCAGTGATGACACCAGTGCCACCGTCAGCAGTGATGTCACCAGCGCCACCGTCAGCAGTGATGTCACCAGCGCCACCATCGGTGGGGTCAGCGGCAAAACCATCGGTGGTCCCGCCCTCAGCGCCCCTACTGGCACCGGCGGGGCCACCAGTGATGTCACCAGTGACGCCACGAGGAGCACCGCCACCACCAGTGACACCATCAGCAGAAGCACCAGGGGTGCCGCCGCCGGAAAGGGCACCAGTGCCACCATCGCTGCCACCAGCAGAGCTTCCCCCAGCCCACCAGTGACGCCACCAGTGACGCCACCAGTGACACCACCAGTGACGCCACCGGTGCCACCGGCAGAGCTTTAGCCAGTTCCCAACCCAGCGCTGCCTCCCCCGGCCCCCACCACGGACGGACAGGACAGGGCTGCGGGGTACAAGGCGCCTTTATTGCCACCGCCGTGCCCCCCCGAGGCGTGGGGACCCGCCAGCCCCCCTCATGGCTGCAGCTGCAGCAGGGCCGGGGGGGCCGGGGGGGCCGGGGGCTGCGCCAGGCGGTGGCAGCTCTCCAGGTCCCCCAGCACCCCAAAAAGCCGGCTCAGCCCCTCGGGCACAGGGGCACCTGTTGGAGGGGGGGGGGGAAGGGAGCAGCGGTGAGACCCCAACAACCACCATGGCCCCCCCACCCCGACCCCCCTAGAGACATGCCCCGGCCAGAGCAGCCCCACCGGGGTCCCCAAAATCCCCTCCCACCCCAAACCTACCTTCACCCCGCGGGCCATTTTGGGCGTCCAGCAGCTCCCAGTACTTTTCCCTGGGGAGAGCGGGGAGGAGTGGGGGATGTACCCTGGGAGGGGTGCAGGGGGTGGGTGTCCCCCCACCCTGGGGTGGGGGCTCACCTGAGGGTCCCTCGGAGGCCCTGGAGGTGGTGGAAGAGGCGCTGAGCCTCCGCTGCTGAATCCAGGGGGTCACTCCAGTCCTGGAGGGTGACGCCATGCCGGGTCCGGTCGCACCCCAGCCCTGAGGGACAGTGTTGCTTATGATGGCGGGTTGGGGCGGGGGGGGGACAGGCGGGGTGGGGTGACACCCCCCCCCACCCTGGGCACCCCTGCAGGGGTCCCGGGTGCCCACCCCGGTACCTGTCCTCTGCCTCTGGTGGCAGCAGCTCCACTTGTCCCCGCGGAAGACGCCGGGGTGGTAGGTGCGGAGCACGCGGGGGTTGTTGACGCACACCTTGCGCAGGGCTGACAGCCACTGGTTCAGCTCGTTGACGCACTGCGGGGTGTGAAAAGTTGGGGGGGGGGGGGGGATGGGGGTGGGGGTGTCCCCGGCTGCGCCACCCCCAGTGTCCCCCGTCCCACCTTGCACTGGAGGTAGGCTGTCTCCTGCCGCCCGCCCGCGTCCAGGTAGACCACCTGCATGACGTGGGCGCTCCCGAAGCTCTTCTCCTCCACCTTCTCGGCCGCCAGAATGTCGGCCAGGGCGATGGTGCCGCTACGCTGATGGGACACACACACGCAGTGTGTGTGTGGGGGGGGGTCAGTGCCACCCCCGCTGCCCCCCCACCTCCCCCCCCGGCACCCCCCCCACCTCAGCGCCGGGGCTCTTGCCAAAGCTGAGGGACTCCCCGGTGAGGCAGAAGTGGAGTTTCTTGGCGGCGGCGGCGAGCAGCGGCCCCTTGCCCCGCGTCTTGTGGACGAAGAGCGGCCCCTCCTTCACCACCGCAGCCGGGGGGCTCAGCAGCCACCCCTCGCCTTCCTCCTCCTCCTCCTCCTCCTCCTCCATCCCCACCAGCCGGGCGATGAAGTCCTTCATCTGGGCGATGCCCTGCTGCAGGGCGGGCAGCAGCGGGCCCAGCCAAGCCTCCTTGGCCCGCCCGGCCGCCGGCTCCATGTTGCCCACCATCTGCACAGCCTGCAGACCCCCGGGGAGGGGGGGACAGAGGTGTCGCTGGTGGGGGGACCCATCCCTCCCTAACAGGAAGCAACTGAGCACCCCGAAATCCCCAGCTGGGTGACACCTGCCCGGTCCCACCTTGGCCAGGAGCAGCAGCGTGCGGCTGGTGCGCGCATCAGCGTGTGTCTCCCGCAGGTGGAAGAGCTTCGGGGTCATGATGGCCGGCGAGAAGAAGCGGAGGCAGAGGAAGCTGGTGACGGCCACAAATTTGGTGTGCTGCGGCCGACCAAGGCGGGGGGGGAGACGTGTGAGGGTCTGTCCCACTGCAGAACATCCCCAGGCGCCGCGTGCCTTGGTGAACCAGGGACGCGGGGGCCGGCTTCCAGCACAGAGGCGCTGTTTGGGCGCAGCGTGGCCCCGCTGCCCCCCATCCCTGGGGGGCTGCCCCCACACCCCAGAGAGGACCCCACTGACCAAAGCTGGGGACCGCACCCAGTGCACCCCGTTCCCATTGGACCCCCGGTTCATCCCCCTGCCGCAGCCCGACCTGGTGCTGGGGGAAGCGCTCCCCGACACGCTGGAAGAGCTGCCGGAAAGCGGCGCGGATGATGGCGGGACACGCCGGGGCCGACTTGACGATGGCATCCAGCAGCTCGCCCAGGTAGGACTGGAGGTGCTGGCGGCCCTGCTCGATCACCTCGCCCTCCGTCTGCACCCGGTGCAGCCCCGAGCACCTGCGAGCACCGGCACCGTCAGCCCCACGGCCAGGCTCCCCCCCCGCCCCACCGCCCCGCACGCCCCTTACCCGACGTCTTTGATCTCCACCTTGCCGGGGTCCAGCTCCACGTACTTCTTCTCCTCGAACACGCGGGTGATGGTGGGTCCCAGGACAGCGTGCAGGTACGGCATCCCTGTCACCTGCCGAGGGACCACGCAGGGGACGGTGAGGGGGGACACAGCCACACGTTTGGTACCCGACACCCCCAGACTCCCTGCTAAGGGTCACACAGGGGATTTCCTCCAACCTCCCAGCCCCAGGGGAAGACACAGCCCCACCA